ACCGACACAAAATGTGTAAGCTTTGCAGAGAACGTTAAAAACAGTTCAGGAGCAAACTACATATATGGGTTACGCCTTTTCACATAAAACAGACACCTGTCCACGTGTGTGAGTGTGTGCAGAGCCTCAAAAGAACGCTGTAACGTTCGCTCATGGCTTCTTCCGAGAGGAGAGTAAGAAAGCAGTTATGGTTATTTTCTTTTTTTGGCCATTTACTCGAGCACCTACCAATTTCAGGTGCTGGGAATACGGGGGTCAAGAACCCAGAGTCCAGGGTAGAAGCGGTTCTGCCCGGTTCGTGGCCGTGTCCCGGGCAGAGTGGGCACTCAGTGTTGTTCCCACATGCACACCACGGTGGAGACCAAGTGGCTTCTGCATCGCCCCGATATAACACAACTTGGGGGCGCGGAGCAATAGCATCGTCACGAAGGGGCTTACACGGTCGCCCAGGTGAAGTTCGTTCCCACTCCCCGAAACTGCGCTCGGCTGCAGGAGCGAAGAGCCTTCAACCTCTCCGCCTCAAAACGAGCCGGAGGGCTCGACGGGGAGAAGCCCCTACAGGAGTCCCGCGGGCCGGGGCTCCACCCCGCTACCTGAGGGCGGGTGGGGGAGGAAACCCGGGCAGTCCGGCGACACCACGACGCTCCACGCTCGCCGCGCAGGTGGCGCCTAAATCTCACAGAACCTCCGCGCCTCCCACGGAGGAGGAAGCGCGCCCAGGACCTGGGGAGAAGAGGCCCGCCCGCCCACACGTCCACCCTTACCTCTCGGGGCGGCCGCCAGGGCCGGCGCCCGCAAGCTGCGTCCCCACAGCAGCAACACTCGCAGCTCGCGCGCCATGTCCGTCCTCCCCGGCACCCGTGCAGCACGCGCGGCGGGGGCGGGGCGGAGCGGGGCCTTCCTCGGGCGCGGCGCGGTGACGTCACGGTGAGCGCAGGGCTGCCCAGCCCGCTGCCTGAGCCGGAGAGTGGGCGGGGGCCTGCGCAGCACGCACCCTAGGCCCGCGCGGGGACAGTCGGGCCTGGGGGCGGGCCCCCCGTGACCTTGTGTCGCGTTGTCAAGGGCGACGGGAGGGGCCGTGGGGCACTCGCCCGCCAACAGGGCCTCACTTCGTGCATCCCTAAAATGGGGCTGACGTTCGCAGGCCCGGGAGGCTGTGAAAAGGCGGCGCGCGGACTGAGGCTGTGATCGTAGCCCCACAACTCCCCGGCCACTGGCCGGACCGAGGCGGGCGCGGAAGGGGAAGGGACGGACCTCAGGCTGGCCTTGTCCACTCCCTAGCGCGAACCCAGTAGCCGCCCCCACCAGCACAATCGGGCTTATTCCTTCCTTGTCTCGCGTCTTGCTGGAGGTGGGGCTGAGGCCGAGACCCACCCCTCCTTTTAATTAAGAAAAAAATTTTTTTTTAATTTTAGTATGGTTGACACACTAAGATTAGTTCCAGAACGTAGTGATTCAGCAGCGCTGCACCTTGGGCTGCTCTCAGCACCCTGAGTGTAGCTGCTGTGGGTCACCACGCGACACAGGTATCCATCCCGTGACTGCAGTCGCTGTGCGGTGCTGCTCCTGACCGCGTCGACGCCCTTTGTCACCCAGTGCTGCACCACGCAGCTTGCAGGTTCTCTGACGCCGCCTTAGGAGAGGCCCCGGCGCCCCGTCCTCCACCCCCAAATGATTCTGAGGCTCGCTGGAGACTCGCTACCAGAGCGAAAAACGCCGCAGAAACGGAGGTGCTTTGGATTTGACCCGAGCTGCGAAGTCCAAGAGTCAGGGAGGGTCCCTCTGGAGCCAGGACACAGCCGGGGGTTGGGAGGGGCCTTTCTGGGACTCTTCCAGGTGGAAGGTGTGAAGGATGAGCCCCACCTGCCAGGCTTGTAATGTCAGGTGGGTGGACTCAGCTGGAAGAGCAGATCTCTGACGTTGGAGGAAGACTCCAGTAGCCTCTTCCCTGGCCCCCAAGGCAGCTGGATCACACACTCTGCAGTCACCGTCCTCTCGTGCCTCCCCAGCACACAAAATCAGTTCCAAACCCCTTGGCCTCCAGGCCCTACACAACCTCACACCTGCCTCTCTCCTTCCCCCACCATGCTCCAGACCCAGGGAGCCTGTACCAGGCCAAGCCAGTCCAGTGTATCCCTGCAGCTGCTGGGCCGGGGGCTGGGGGGGACCGAGGGGTCTCAGCCTCACCTTGCGTTTGTTATACACCCAGGAAGTCCTCTATTATAAGAGCCGATACAGTGATCTATGAGGCGATAGATCTAGGCTGGGGAGCCCTTTATTTCAGGAAGAAGTGGTTTTTGGCAAAGTGAAGATGGAAACCTACACTTCACTTAAGGATGGGGGTGTCTTGAGCCGCCTGGGTGGCTCTGTCGGTGGAAGGTGTGTTTCTTGGGGTTGTGGGTTTGAGCCCCACTTTGGGTGTTGAAATTACTTAAAAAAAAATCTTTAAGGCAAACAGAAAGCCTAAGGCAATTTCAAAGTCAAGGTGTGGTCCTTGGTCCCCTACAGCCTTGCTACTCCAAGGGGGCCCAGGCCTCACCCTGGAGCTCCTTCAAAACCTAGAAGCTCAGTCTGCTTCCCCCTGCCCCGGCCCAGACCTACTAAATCGGGGTGTCAGCAAGAAGTCAGGTAAGCTGTCTGCGGGTCAGAGCTGGGGAAGTGCCATCCTGAGCACAGGCCAGCAGCAGTGAGGATGTATGCTCCCGAGGGCTGTGCTATCCTGGACCCTGACAAAGAGACATCTCCCCATTCCAAGCAGAAAGCCAGGTCGGTGGTCCGGCTTCAAGCCCTGGCGCCACCTTGCACCTTCCTCCCCTGGCTGATGGTGTCTCTGGGGGGAGTTCTCCAAGGGCTGGGGTCAATGCCTAGGATCCGTTCGGTAAATGCTTTGCTGAGTGAGCCAGCCTGGTGCTCGGACAAGACCTGCACGTTTCCCTGTCAGCTGGAAGCGGCAGGCATACACCTGCTCTGGAGGGAAGGGGGCCTTGGCTCGGGGTCCACTCATGTCCTTCCTGCCCTTTCTCACACTGGTGGACCTCTCCCCACAAGAGAACCCCTTTTCCTTACCCAGGAAACCAGAGACCAGAATGCCAGTGTCTAGAGGCTTGGGAACAGCCAGAACCGGCTTCCCCGGAAGTTCAGAGGGTCCCCTGTGCTTCTGGGGGCGGAGGTCCAGCTCCCACAGGGGACACCCGTTCTGGTTGCTAAACACTGGACAATTCTGGTTGCCTCCTGTGCAGAACCCTGCCCCACCCCCCGCCCCGAGTCTGTTTCCTCTTTCTCTGCACCTGCAGACGTTGGTCTGGTCCCCACCACTCTCCCTCCCCGACTCCCCAGCCTCGATGCTCAACTCACTCGTGGCAGCACGTGAAACAACCCTCCCTCTTCTGAGACCCCCCAAACCTGTCCCAGACATGAGGGGTCCTGGGTGGGGTCAGAGACACAGGAGGGGTCCTGGTGCAGGGAGCCCCAACACACCACCCTTCCCCATCCTCCCAAGGGTGTCCTCTCTTGGCATTTTCCTGAAGGACCACCCTCACCTGGAACATTCTCTAAACATCACTACCAGCCTTGAGGATCTTCAAGTCTGAACTTTGCTGATATGCCTATATAAGACTACTCAGTAAACATCCATTTCCAAGAGGCTTCCTTGGTGTTGGCCCAGAGCCCTGGGGTCCCAGCACCAGAGCATAAAGCCCATTTCAGTAGCAGCCCTCTCCAAGCGCTGAACCGGGCACCAGGCACCACACTCAGGCCGGCCAAAAGTCCCACTTAGTCCTGTGTAAGATCCTGGTTACCACTTAACTACTGTCTATGACATTGGAGGAGTTAGAAAAATTATAATACACCCCCCTTTCCTCAAGGTAACCCCAAAGTGAGTTCAAGGTGAGCCTCCGGAGCTAGTGGGGAGGAAAGCTCCTTTTGGGACAGCGGTGAAGCACGTGGCTCTGGCTGAGCGGCCCACGCCACCCATGAACTTGGACAGGTCCCCACACAGTCCTACCTCACGGCCAGGACAGGGGAGCTAGTGAGGCCTTCCAAGAGCCCTTGTTACCAAGCGTCGTCAAGGAAGGCAGGCGGAGTTGAGAGGACTCATACCCCACCAAGGCCCTGGCTCCTGGTGGCCCCCACCCTGATGGACCCACTAGCCATCCCTCCGTGGGGACACCGCAGGCCCACACTTCCTGTGCGCTGGCCTCCTGCTCGTCTCTCAAGCCCCTGAATGTGTCAGTCAGCCCAAGGTTTTCCATCAGCACCTGCGGATTCTCTGCTGGGTACCATAATCTGCCTCTGGGGACTCCGTCCACACAGCCTGGCAAGTCGTCTGGAGGAAGGTGTGCTTGCACCGAAGGTACTGTCCGCCTGTTCATCCACAGTTCCTGTCTGTCTTTCAGCCTGGGGGCGACACTCGGTTACGTTTCAGAACTGACCCATCTCCCTACTCTCGACGTTGCACAATGAAATCACACCCGAGTGCTGCAGTGGCAGGAACACAAGACATCCCAGGAAGGTGCAATCTGGTTTTTCCAGCCTCCAGTCCTATGCACTCCTGTGCTCCTACTTGCTAAGATGGCCCGGCCGGAGCGCTGACTTCCCGGCAAGGGTCCTTGGGTGACGTGCCTCCCGAAGGTCTGTTGGCAACCAACCCGCACTCAGCTCCTTCATGAAGGGACTTTCCTTTTTCAGAGCAGCTCACTGGTCTGTGCAGTGCTAGAAGCACGTTTTGGCTTAAGCGGAATCTTTGGTTCCATTTTGTTGCAAAAAAAAAAAAAAAAAAAGAGAGAAAGTTAGGTCTTCAGCCCGAGATTATACAAGCTGAAGAGACTTTACCTCGTTTTCCAGAGATTGTCTCCTACTTCTGTTTTTAACATGCTACGTTCTCAGAAGCGTCATCAAACACACATACTAGGCACACTCAACCGAGACCCTCCGGCCTAACAAGGGCTAGCTACTAATAAGCTCATTCCAAGGGTCGTTAGCCAACTGGGACCATCTTTGAATCCAAGCAGTTTTACCAGCTTTTATTATAAACACCAGCACATTTCAAGTTTCCTCTTTTTGATCACAAATATAGGACTTTTTTCTTCTCCTCTTAAGTATACAGCATGAGACACAGCGCCGGGCCTTTCCCGCTGTCTTACAGAAATCTCCTTACGCCGAGTGCGGGGTTAGCATCCACAGACCACACCCTCGGCCGCAGCCCTTGGTGGATTACACAGGACATGGACTCCAAAAAGATGAGACCTGTACACAGAGTTTTGGATCCCACGACGACCTGAAAAAGATGCCCCCCCCACCGGCCCCCTTAAGTGGTGGCCCTGCACTACGTGTCCATGGCCCTGGAGCTGCTCCTCCAGGGCCCCAGACGGCTCACCTCTTCCGTCTGCTCAGGGTTTTCCCATCAGTGGAGACCGTGAGTCGGCAGAGGGTCCCAGACTCAAGAAGCAAGTAAGCAAGCAAGCATGGCCAGATGGCCACTGGAGGGCCGTGGCCCTGCTTTCCCTTCTGGGGCTGTGGTGGGCGTGGCAGGTGGCTGGCAGTGCTAGAGGACGGTCTAATTATCTGGCTTAATCTAGTTTGAACTCAAGATTTGAAGCTCTGTGCAAAAATTAATTTTTTTCAAAGCTTCCTCAAGTTTAGATTCCCAAATCAGTATTTTGAAGTGATCTCTGTGAATACATGGCCAAAGGGGAAGCTATTTGGGCCATGAATTCTAAATTTGCCACCACCACCCCCTGCCTCCCCACCCGGGTTGGAGGACCAGGGACACAAGAGGCAGGACTCGAGTCCCTTGTGCTTGGTCGGGGAGGGATGCTGCAGTCTAGAGGGCAGACTTCCACGTTCCCCGGAGGTGCTCCTCTGCTCAGACCTGACGTTTCCAGCACCCAGGGACTCAAGTGTCACCCTCTTGGTAAGGGTACCCTGAACTGGACCCAGGAGCAGGGGGAAGCAAGGGGGTGGTGGTGGCGTGTGGGACCATGTGGCCAAGCGCCCATCCCTCGAAGCCGGGGGGGGGGGGGCTCTTTCACCACAGCACTGCCCTCACAGGCCCTGTTTCTAGAGGGTAGAGAGCAAAGGCCAGACCTCTTCGCTGCCCTGCCCAGCCTAAGCATCGGAGGCCACAACAGGACACGCTGCACGCAACATCCACCCCTATGGAGCATAGGACGTGGGGAAGCAGGAACCACCTCTGGTCCCTGGAGCCAATTCTGCACCAATTCTGGGATTTGCATAAAGGAAAGGGGAGGGTAGGTACCACTGCAAACAGCTGCAGGAACCATCCCTACACTGGCATCTTGAGGCTTAGGGGAGGACAGGAGGCAAAGTGCTGCTTCGGACTCGTCTGCGGCCTGAACTCTGTGGGTGAAGCTCCCCGCGGAGCAGTGGGTATATGAGGCCCCCACTGAGCTGGACACCTCGGTTCCTGGAAGGAGAACCACCCAGGCCTTGGCTGGGCCTGGCTGCCACCCACATGGCCACCAGGACCAGGACCAGTCCCTACCTCTCCCCTGTGAGCAATCCATCAGAATCATGTCTTACAAAGAACAGACTCCAAAAATATATATAAATAAATAAAAACCTTAAACATTCTTACAGGGATCTTAAAGAACAGAATACATGTTAAAAACTTCAGTAATTTATATCAATTTTAAGCGGTACTTTATATACAATGGGGGAAAAACACATGCATAGTCCAAATACAATGTTGAAAACAGCATTTTCATAACAAAAAAACCCCGAACACTAAGTGTTAATACCATGTACATGAATTCAAGAAGGACCACCCTTTTTGTCTGTTGCACACAGTTTATTTAACAATATGATATAAGAAATGAGTTGGTACTTTACCATTCTATACAGTGATTGAATCTTCTTGAATTTTCTTATTTATAGTAATTATAGCGCTTGCATGATTTACACTAGAATTGCTTTTCCTCATTTCAAGTTTCACATAGAAGAAAGAAAAGAATGCTTCTTCTCTATTAACATTAGCATGGTCTAAGAGAGTGATCATCCCTATTTTTTGTCTAAAACCAGTTTTATCAGAGAAACAAAGCAACAATTTCTACATCTGCAAGACAAGAGTTTGGCTTAGGCCAGTATGTATAGATAGATGTGTGTGTGGGTGTGTACGTGTGTGCACGCAGGAGCCAATTCCTATCGTCCAGGGGTAATACTTGGAGAACGCCCACAGAGTTCACTATAGAAAAAATCTTCCCGCAACGTCAGAAAGTTATCGGGATACATTATAAGCTTGCATTATTTCAAGAATCAGTTTCTGAATATTATTTTTCTTCTCACTTTTAAACATAAATGTTTAAAGTCTTGAAAATACAAATAAAAAATATGAATATAATGAACTTGTTTTTCCCGTTAAAAAAAGGCATGAGTCACCAGAAATGACAAAAAGAATCCAAACAAAACCCCCCTCCCCCCAAAACAAAAAAACAAAAACAAAAAACAAAAACAAAAAGAGAGAAAGAGAGAGAGAGAGACCAGATATTTAAATCAACTGGTTTTTAACAAAAAAATATATTCTTTGTATTGTTTCTTTAAACAGCAATCTACCCTTCCACGGCTTGGAAGTAGCGGTTCCATCTAGGCATAAAAAGAACCTAGACGCCTGGATTTCAGTACAAAAGGTCCAAGAACATGAAAGGGGGGAGAAAAGCGATGCTCTCACAATGCTACAAACCCTCCACAAACTTTTCTAGGGTGTCTCCTGTGGTGTCGCCGACCAGGGACAGCTCACTGGACAGTGCACTCCTGTTGGGGGTGTTCAGCTGTGGGAGCATTGCACTCTGTTCGGGGTTCCCCAAGTGTCCCTGATCTATGGAGCTGGCCATGGTGACTGCGAGTCCTGGGTGGGGGGAACCAGTCTGGGGCGAGACGTGGTGTGGTGAAGGCTGGGGCTGTATCCGTGGCGACGGGCTGGAATGTGGAGGCTGGGACTGGGGCCGCGGAGACTGGACAGGGGCCGGAGACCGCACCTGGCTACTGAGGGACGTGGCCATCTGCTGGCCGGGGAGGTGCGAGGCCTGCGGCTGTCCTGAGAGCATGTGCTGCTGGGGGCTCATGGGGTTCGGCTGGCCCGGGGACCCGATCTGCTGCTTCATCTGCTGCTGCTGCAGAATCCGCTGCTGCAGGGCCTGCTGGATGTTGGGGGTGCTGTCTGCGCCCAGCCCCGGCTGCCCTATCTGGCTGAGCTGGCCCATCTGAGCTGCCATCTGGCCCATGGAGCTGCCCTGGATGGGGAGGTGCTGCTGCATCCGCTGCTGCTGCATGGCCGGGGGGTAGCCTCCGGGTCCCTGGGGCTGCTGGAACTGGCCATGCCCGGCCATGCCCCCGGCCATGCCCGTGCTGCCCTGCTGCTGCTGCTGCTGCTGCTGCTGCTGCTGTTGCTGCTGCTGCTGCTGGAGCAGCTGCCTCCGGAGCATCTCCCGGTACTGCGGGTTCATGCTTGCCATGCTGGGGTTGTGGCCCGGGTTCATGATGTTCAGGGCCTGGCCCTGGGGGTTCAGGCCTCCCATCGCCGGTTGCTGCGGAGGCACGCCGGGCCGGGGCCCGCCGGCTTGCATGGCGTTCAGGTTCTGCAGGCCGGGCTGCTGGTGCAGGCCGGGCTGGGCCTGGAGGCCGGGCTGTGGCTGCAGTCCGGGCTGGGGCTGCAGGCCGGGCTGACTGGCCACGTACTTGGCTGTGCGCTGCTTGATGAAGGCCGCCATCAGCTGAGGGTTGGACTTGAGGATGTTGAGCACCTGCTGCTGCTGCTGCGGGGAGCTGGGCGACTTCAGGGTCCGCAGCAGGTCCTGCAGGGCGCCGGGCGAAATGCTCCGGGGAGGCTGCACGCCGGACATCCGCGGCCCGGCCACGGCCGGTTGGGCCTGCATGGACAGCACAGGCCGAGGCAGGCCCGGCATCGGCTGCTGCTGGGGAAGAGGCGCCTGCTGCCACTGTCCGGGGGGCAGGTTGGGCATGACCGGCCCGCTGACCTGGCTGGGACGGGGCACGTTCAGGCCCACGGGGGCCATCTGGCTAACCGGGGTCACCATGCCCGCGCGCCCGGGGGGCAGGCCGTTGTTCACGTTCACCCGGTACAGATGCTGCTGCTGCTGGGCCTCGCGCTCGATCTGCCGGGCCGCTTCCACCGCGGCCGGTGGGGGCTGTGCAGGGGGCGGAGGGGCCGGCACCTGGTTGGTAGGCTTCCCGGTGGACACCGTGGTGGGGGGCTGAGTCCGGGCCACACTGGGGAAGCCGGCTGGTGACATGCTCACGGGTGAGGGCTGGGGCTGGGCCGGGGGCTGCGGCGTCTGAGGCGTGCCGGGCTGCTGCGTGGGGGTCCCGGGCGGAGCTGAGGTAGGGGAAGGCAGACTCTGCTGAGGCACATTGCGGGTGTTCATGGTGGCCATCCGCCGGCGCATGAGCTGGGCTTGCTGCAGCCGGTGCTGGATCTGCTGCTGCCGGAGCTTGTGTTTGATGTTGAGGCAGAAGGGCACCGGGCACTTGTTCTCCTGGCAGTGCTTGGCGTGGTAGCAGCAGAGGGCGATGAGCTGCTTGCACACCGGGCAGCCCCCGTTGGTCTTGCGCTTGCAGCCCTTGGTGTGCTGCACCACCCGCTTCATCTTCTGGCAGGACGGCAGCGAGCAGTTGGCGTTGCGGCACTGGCAGGCGTGCACCAGGGACTGGATGCAGCGCTGGATGCTTAGGCGCCGCGACTCCTGGGGGCTCTTGGACTGCGGCTCGCCCTGGCTGCTGCCCTCGTCGTCCAGGCCCAGCCCCCACTTCACCATCTTGTGGGCGTGGCTCTTGGTGTTGTAGCAGTTGATGCAGAGGTCGTAGTCCTGCGGACAAGCACAGGGCGCAGGCTATGGTCAGCCCGGGGCCTTGGGACCAGACAGAGGCCACCGCATCCATCCCCGCAGCCCTACCCCTCCCCTCCCTGTGCTCTCACAGGCTCTCGAGTGCGTTGGCTGACCTCTGGTCCCTTTTCCTTCCTTCCTCTGCCCCTGGGGAAAGGCGCCCAGACCTACCGTGTTCTGCTCCTGAACCTGGCCTGGGGAGCCTGACGGTTCCTCCCGAGCTCACCCAGGTGCCACCCAGCTCCCCGGGGCCGCTGCCAGGGGCCCTGGTGCATCCCCCAAGCTCTACTGGGTGGCCCAGGGGGTCTGGTGGACTGAGACACCTTCCCCAGAAGACAGGCCTTTGGCTCAAACCCCAGTGACAAAACGCACACTTACGGGTTCTTTAAAGTTGCTTATACCTGCAGACAGAGACTACCAGGTACCAGGTCTGGAGAAGACGACCCTATGACCGGGACCCACCCCTTTTCCAAAAGGACATGAAGATCCCAACAGTGGGAAATGATATGGGACTAAAGAAGGCTGGAAGAAGTGGGAAATGAAGACAACGGCATTACAGAGGCTCCACCTGCTCCCTCTACCCAAGATCACAGAACCCCTACGGGCGTGTGGCTCTGGGAACCGTTTGGGAAGCTAACACTGGCAAGGTGAGGACAGGGTGCGGGGTGGAGGCTCCATGACAGCCTGCTTCACACCCCGTGAAGGACCCATCTGGGCAAGGGATGGCCCACACCCCTTCACACAGGGAGCCAGCATGTGCAACCACGGGGTCCACCGGGACAGGGCCTTCTCAGCTGCTTGGCTAGGTCACAACTGGAGGCATGAACAGGGGAAACCACTCAGAATCCCAATGGGGCTGAAGCACAGCCTGTTTCCTGCTCCTGCCCTGCACCAGAAGGCCCGTGGATGCTCCTGACACGCGGCTGGTGTTAGCAAACAACAGGGATCAAATCAAAGTGCTCTGTGATCAATTCCTCCTGAAAAAGTCAGCATAAACACTGCCCCCCCCCCCAGGAGGCCTGCCCACTCCACCTCCCTGGGAGACCAGCCCCTCCTGCCAGGGTCCAGGCGTAGCCCAGACACACACCGATGGCCCTTTGTTATGCTCAGCTGGGTTGGGAGCACACACGCTCCACGAAGGGAGAAACGCTCCACGAAGGGAGAAACGCTCCTTCCTTCCTTCCTTCCCTCAATGTAAGCTGTTGAGCCTGGAGCGAGCACAGAGCACGGACTTTCTTCTTCGTAACCTCGGAAACCCGACCTCATGACCAACAACTCTCAGAGAGGACCAGGAGACAGATGCGCCTTTTTCATCTGCTTATCTGGTCCCCGGGAAGATGCTGACCACTTCACGGTCCGAGCTGAGACGCTAATGCACCGATGGTGCAGAGAACTGAGGACCAACTGGGGTCCAAACTCGCGGCACACGCATTACCCGCCAGCCTACCTCGCAGACAGTGCAGTGCCAGCGCGTCTCCACGTGGTGCTTGCACTCGTTGCAAGTGTAGACGAAGCGGTCCTGGCCCTGGGTGTGCAGCTCCACCAGCATGCACAGTGTGGACCACTTGGACCGGCGCAAGGAGGAGAACTCCCAGTGCTTGTCTCGGGCGAGGGTGAGGAAGGCGTCACGCCCGTCCATGAGGTCACAGCTGAGCAGGGGGTCGGGGTCCACGATGGGGGGCAGTGTGTTGATGACGGGCCCAGCGTGCAGGTGGATCACAAAGAAGACCTGCAGGGGAGGACAGCGTTAGCCCACGGAGAGCCGCGGCTGCTCTGCCTCCCGGGGCCAGCCCTCTCCACAAGGACCAGGATGGAGCGCCAGCAGCACTCTCCCCTCCTCTGGGTGGGGACCGGCGTTGTGGATTCTCAGCAATCCCTTCTCCCTTATCCCACAGACCAGGAGAGGTCCCGGCCTGTGGCTCCGAGAGCCCCCGCCCCCCCGAGCATCTCTACCTCTTTGTGCTTCTCCATCGTGGCGTAGAGCTTCTGGGACAAGTCGTTGGACACGTTGGGCATGCTGGGCTTCTTCTTGTTGGCTCGACTGATGCTGCTTTTATTCTTGTTGGTTTTCTTGTTGTTCTTCTTCTTGGCGTTCTTGCTGTCGCCCTGGCTGCCCTGAAAAGATACACGGAGCTGTCGCAGAAGCCCAGCCTCCCCTCCTGAGGGCGCTCCAGGCTGCCGCGCCTGCAAACACACAGCTGCCTGCAGAGGGTGTCACAGAGGCAGGGGCGAGGAGGACGGGAGCCTGGCCAGGGGCGCGGTGGGGACACAGAGGCCACGGCGGCCACACGGCAGGTCATCTTTTGGGAAGAATACCCCCAGGAGGGACTCCCAACAACGGAGGGAGGCCACGTTGCCCCGGAGCCCGACCGCTGCATGCCACGTGCCACGTTCTCAGTCCTACATGGTTCCCAAAGTCCGCTGCGTATGAGGCAGGGAAAGGCGCCCTGGGAAGCTGCTGCGTGGGCGGGAGCGGGGGCTCCAGCACGGCCCATCCACGTCCCAGGCAAGGCTGCCTGAAGGGGGGACGTCCCTATGACCCTGCTCCCAGCTGTAGGCTCGCGTGGGCCTGAAACCCCCATCATGAGCGCTCCAGGGGCTGAGGTGTGAGGGGTCCTGCCCCGCAGTTAAGGCGTTTCTGCTCCGGAAAGGACCCCCTTCGTCGTTCAGGCTCCAGGTCAGGTCCGAAGAACCTTCTTCCCAACAAGAGCAGAGAGAGGGAGAGACAGACACTCTCGGTGCCGAAGGGCGCTAGTAGTACCCGTCTGGGGCCCAGAGCAGTAGAGGGCTGTGAGGGAGGGCGGGACTGCAGTGGGCAGGCTGCACAGCCGCTCCAGTTCTCAGGGAGCCCTGAAACCATTCTAAAGACGAAGCTTTTAGAAAATTATAAAAGAAATAGATACACTGCACAAAGTTCAGAAAATACAGCCAAGTAATAGTAACAAAAAAATGTTTTGGCCACCCAGAGCAACGGCATTCTGGTTTTTCCTCCTGGAGCTGCACGTACAGGTGGCTCCCGCAGGTGGTTTTCCTCAGAGCTGGGGTCGCACATGTGATGCTGCAGCCTCTCCCTTCCCCACGTCCCCCAGGAAGGACAGTGCCAACGGCAAAGCAGCAGCCCGCCCAAGTGCCATCCACAATGGAAGGCACTACCTGCCACGCGGTTCTGGGGTGTCTATGGGGTGGGACCTGCTTGCTGCCTCTGTGGAATGGGCACAGAAGACCACCGTCTCTCTGCACCATGGGCAATTCCCTGACACTGCAAAGGCTGGCAGGGTGCAGCTGCTCCACCATCTGCGTCCAGACCCTCTTCTCCTGGCCCCGGAGCCCAGATCCATGTTCTGACTCAAGCCATCACCCATCCGAGGTGCGGGCGGTGGCCGACATGGAGAGGAGGGACCTGGGCTCACAGCTCAGCTCTGTGCACTCCCCAGCCGGAACTCCCTGGTTTCTACCCAAACAGGATTTCCGGCTGCCTCCCAAAGACCCCGGTGGAGCAGTTTCTCAAGCTCCATTCCCGATATTCAGAAATATGGTTATCGGCGGTCAGATGACAGATCCTGCCTCCAGGGAGGCCCTGGCAGAAGGACCCCCGTGGCAGACCCCAGTTCGGAGGACCCATCCTGCACAGCCCCTCTTGGGAGTCACCAGGCATCTCTGTGCCAGTTCCTGCAGGGCCTCCTTCCCCAACATACTTCCCCAGCCTCCTCCTTTGGGTGGAGGCGGCAGCACGGACTCCGTCACTGAGGGCCCAGACCGAGCAGGCAGCCCGGATCCAGGATCTCCCTCACACACCACAACGATCTGCGTCAAGTTCTAGGGCTGCTACTTTCAAAACACCTCATACCCCCCCTCCCACTGCCTCTACAGCTAAGAACCGAACGGAGACCCCCCATCCTCTCTTCCGCGGACATCCCGAACACAAGCACACTTGCTCCCAGCAAGAGCCGTCACACATCTCCCCCTCCCCAGGCAGTGTCGGTCCCTTCTCAGCAGGTCAGCCTCCGCCGCCTCCCCAGACAGGCCCCGCCGGCAGCCCCCGCGCCTGGCCGATCTGGGTGCGCTGTTTCCTTAAGTTCCTACCACTACCTCAGGACGCGCTGTTTTCCCTACTAGAACCCGCGCCCTGGGAGGAAGGGACAGAGCCTCCCCCAGCTCGCCACCGCATGGCGGCACCCGGTAAGCGGGCCCGAGAGCGACAGCAGACGGAGGGCTGTCTGGTGCGGAGGGCTGGCTTGTGACAAAGTGGGAGAAAGAGGCCTGTCCCCTTCTCAGGGAAGGTCTGAGCACGGGGCAAGCACGGGGCTGTCGGTGCGCTCGGCTGCCCGGCAGGACGTCCTCCTCTCTCGTCCTGCTGCGCCTCCAGCCTGCCTGCCCTGCTCGGAGACGCCAGGGCCAGCACCTCCTGCCTGCCCGCTCCCGCGTGACGCGTCTCCCGCACCCGCATCTCTGCTCGCCCCATGAGCTCCGGCCCTGACCGGCGGTGGCTGGTGACAAGGGGAGGGCATGTGCGAAAACCGCAGCACCGACGAAGGCGGAGGCGTCTGTGCCCCTCAGCGCGGCCGGGCCCGCCGCGGCGCCTCACCTCCGTGGTCTCGCTGGCCGCAGTGCTCTCCTCCTTCTTCCTCTCCTCTTCCTCTTGCTCCAGCTCCTTAATGCTCTCCTCCAGCACGTTGGGCCAGAAGTCACCCTCAAAGTAGGGCAGCTCCTTGGCACTGGTGAGCCTGTCTTCAGTTGCTTGTTTGAAGATATCCTGGAGAGCGAAGGAAGCACAGCGGAGAAGAGGGACGTGAGTGGTGCTGGGGGGAGCGCACGGGGGCCGCGGCCACGCTATGGACGCCCGCTACGAATCTCCGCCAGCTACACGGAAGGTGCTTCTCTGGCTTCTCCCCGCGCCCGTCTTCCCGCGTTCTACTCCTCAGAGGGGACTAGAGCTCGCCCTCCTCGCACGAGCCGCCAGGTACCTTGTAGTCGTGAATGATCCGCTCCGCGAATGCCTTGTCCAGCATCTTCTTGTACCACTCCTGGAGGCGCTTTGGTTTGGGGATTTTCTGGTCAGGGGGGTGGCAATGGAAGATATAGTCGTCTCCTTCACTTGGGGGGCAGGCCCAGATGTGTCCTGTGACATACCTGCAGGACACAGCCACAATTCAGACCACAGAGCTGAGTGAAAGCCTCCCTGCCTGCCAAGGAGACTAACAGCCGAGGAAGAGGCACCACAGCAAGGACAGAAATAACTAGAAGAAAACAAAGAAACTACCACGATGCTTGCGATGAAATAGAACAGGTTCAGGGAACGTCCAAACCAGTGTGTGGGGGAGGGGCGTGGGCGGGGGAGGCTGCATCTCTGCGAGCAAGAGCACCCCTGGAAACCGGCCTCAGATGCTCCCTCTCACGGGGTGCGTGGTGGGCAGGGGTCAGGACTCCAAGGACTCCTGTCAGCATAGGACACAGCCTGGGAGATGTGGCTCTCAGGCACGTGGAATGGCTTATGCCCAGGGATGTGCCGCATTTCCTACTACTACTTCCTGTACAATGAAGGGGCAGCTGGACATTTCTAAGCGGTCAAAGTCAAAATAAATCTGTTACTCTGTTAGAGACCTGTCAGTCAAATACCTCTAACTTTTTCAAATTTGGGAAGGGATGTGACAGATATAGAATGCTGAAACAGAGAAAAAAATCAGATGCAAAAGACCTGTATCCTGTAGGATCCCATTCATATGAAACGTCCAGAAAAGGCAAATTTATATAAAAAGAAAAGTAGACCAAGGTCACTGGGGTAGGGGTGGAACAGGGATTAACAACAAAGGGGTGTTGGGGACCCCACCACTAAAGGGAGGACAATGCTTGGAAAAGGACTGATAGCCACGGCCACGCTGCTCATTGAAGTTACTAAAAATTAATGAAGTGTACACTTGACACAGGCAGGTTTTATGATATGTAAAATATTTCTCAATAAAGTTAAAAAAGGAAAAAAAAAACGAGACTAGAATAGGAGAAAGAGTGAGAAGAGCAACAGAGGGCAGGGCAAGCATGTGCACTGAGCTGGGGAGCCCAGACCTGCGGGGCCCAGGGGAGCGTCTGGGAGGGGGGCTCGGGAGAACTTGTAATCGATCCGAGGACATTAAAATAAAAACACATATGACTTTAAAAAATACCCTGGTTCTTTCACAAAACACACAGTGAAAATTAAAAATAGCATTTTTATTAGTTCTAAATAATCTGAATTAAACTCACCCCAGTTTCTTCACATATTCTAAATATCCAATAAGGATCTCATGGTAAACAGCTGTCCGGAGGCATCGGGGCCGGAAGAAATGAATACTGTCCAGATAAGATATGTACACACGCCTGGGGGAACAGGGGGGAAGAAAGTAATTGGTATCCTCCAAACTTCAAACCAAACACCAACATCTAAAAAAACCTCCAGAAATAAATTCTGTTTTCATAGCATTTATACTGGCCACACAGACAAGACAAGAAAACTCCCATCACCAACTGCCACTGCCTGTGAATAAACGATCCCATCACCGCACCAAAAGCAGTGGATCGCCCACCATGGCGAGGCATGGAAAGGCCAGGGCAAACGAACAAAAGCCTCTTCCAATTCCCTCTCCCCTGGATTCTTGACTGAACATGAAATAAGTCTCGGCAGAGGTCCTTTGCTCTTACAACTCGTGGGACGCTGGAGTGATCCCCACCCCCCTCTCTGTAGGTTTACCTGGCCCAGGTAAGACAGGGACAATAGCAAGACCAGGACTAGAACCCAGGAGCACTCACTCTATGAAACATGGTTTAAACAGTCATCAAAACCCTTCATTTCTCACTGGCTCAGTGGAAAACTCAACTAACAAGTTTGGTTTGTCAGGCGTGGCTTATTTGATTTAAACCGATGTCTGGAGCACACAGGCTCTCCAAGACACTTAGGGTCTCGGTCTGCTGTGACACCGCGGGCCCACTGACCTGCACCCAAGAAGAGGAGGAAGACTACCTTGTGTTTGGTGGGGGGCAATCAGAGCCATACTCTTGCACGTGCATCCCAAAGAAGCACACGTCCACTCCATCAATTTCCTCAAAAGCAAAGAGTGCTTTGGTTCGATAGGGGAAAGATTCAGACATTTCCCCAGAATCCACAAACCTGAAATAAAAGTCAGAGCCTGAGGTCTGCACACGTCATTATTTTACCAGGTGCTTTTTAAACGAGACTTGCTGCTCTAAACCCACGCGGTGCAGATGAGCTGAAGGCCTGCTCACCTCTGCTGACTGCTGCCCAGGGCTCTGCCCGCCAGCCTGGCCTTGGGCAGCTCGGGGCTGTAACCCTATTCTTCGTGACACGATCTCGCTCAGCCAGGAATTTTACCTCCCCTTATGAATGTGGAATACTGAGAGAAGGACTGACTAGACCATACCTGCTGAAAAACCTTTAAATTATACAAACTCTAAGCTTATTTTTTTAGTACTCTCTACACCCAATGTAGGGCTCGAACTCCCAATCCCAAGATTAAGAGTCACATGCGCTACTTTTCAGGTACCCTGAATTAAACAAATTCTAAAGACTTGCCAGAAAGTGGGGCTTTGGCTAACCAGGGACGGGACCCCTCAAACTGTGTGTTACAAAACAGCACAACATGTGCACACAAACCGTGACTTCATCCCGGGCTTGACCTCCACAGTCTTGTCTGAGCTGGCCACCACACGGACAAAGACCTCCCCGGCTTCAGGATGATTCTGTCGCCGCAAAAACTTGTTGACTCGGTCTTCCAGGTGGTTGCCCAATCGTGTGGTCTGTAGTCCTGGAAAGTCCAGAATAAGCAGGTGAGGGGGCTTTGGGTGGGCTATGAAAAAGGTGGCTAAGGTCACAGGACCTACCCTTCCTATAGGGCAGTTTCATTTCCTTTTTTTTTAAAAGATTTTATTTATTTGAGAGCAAGACAGTGAGAGAGAGCATGAGCGAGGAGAAGGTCAGAGGGAGAAGCAGACTCCCCATGGAGCTGGGAGCCCGATGTGGGACTCGATCCCGGGACTCCAGGATCATGACCTGAGCCGAAGGCAGTCGTCCAACCAACTGAGCCACCCAGGCGTCCCTCATTTCCTTTTTTTTTTAAAGATTTTTTTTTTTTTTT